CTGCCCTCGACTGAGGTCAAGGTTCAAGGGCTATAAAGCTGTTAGTAAGTGTCTTAGTCCTTTTATAGACTGGTATAATATCTGATTAGAGTGAGCTTCTGCTGTTGTTTGATAAACTGTCGATATCTGATCGAGCTTAGTATAGATATAGTCTGGCCAGGGCCGCTTGACTTCTGATATCCCCATCTCCGGCATACTACATCAAGACCCCTTTTCTGGCCGAGATATCTCTTTGCGTAGAACTTGTGGAAGGCGCCCAGATGGCCGAGGCCTGCTGGCATAAGCTACTTAAACCGGGAGCACCCGCTATACTTGCATTTCTCTCTTCCTTCCCTACAAATCTCTCGTATCTTTCTATTCCCCCAGGTCTTGCCCTTGCATTTGCCTTCGCATTTGCTGATATATCTTTCCCTCTTTCCGTATAAACACCTCCAAAATGGCAGATCCTTTCCATCCAGCGATGAGCCGACGATATGGAGCCACCTTCCCACGGCGTAGTGATTGGGCCAGTAGATGGACTATGGAGGGCAGTTGTACCGTCTAGAAGCGTAGGGAAACTGTCGGTGTTAGCCTCGAACAGATATCTGAGGTGTAGCCCTCTATTCTTCTGGCTTCAAATGAGACACCGCGGCTTGAGTTCCCCAAGGTAGCCTAGTATCTGTCGTCGCAGGAGTTCCCAGGGGCGAAGTCCTCCAGGCATTTAACCCGAGGCACCTGGGATGGAGGCAAGGCGCCCATCTTCGTTTCGCAAATGATGATATTCGACCATCTTGATTATGGCCGCTATCTCCATCCAAGACCCACAGAGCCAACATATGCTGTCCTCGGTAGAGCCCGCCCGGGCGTCAATACTACATTCGTGGCGGCATTAGCTATGACTAAGGCTCACAGTGTGATCTACGCGGTCACAGTGTCACAACAAATAACCCGCCCGGTTAGCTCAATCGGTAGAGCGTCAGACTCTTAATCTGAAGGCTGCGGGTTCGACCCCCGCATTGGGCTCAATCCCCAGTGCACCCGAGAAATACTCGGGTACCGACCAATCTTTTTGATTTTTTTTTTGCGCCCGTATGAAAATGTACCCAGAAGTAGAAGGGGAACTAGAACTATTGCTGCCCCTGCTCTGGGCGTCGGGGAAATCCATAATGGAATGTGATGAAATGGGCTGAATGCACTGTAAAGAAATATGGATTATAGTACTCTATTTTTGATACTCAGACAGCTGTATTTGGCGGACAGGAGCAGACACGGCACTTGCTCAGATTAGTGATTGTATTCCAAAATTGACACCTCTTCAAGCTTGCCCTGCAGTATGACTCTTCACCAAGCTCTTGACCAGGTGTTCCCGCGCTAACCAAGCATCGCTGTCTGCATAGGTGCCGACCTATCAATTGGACACAAATTCGATGACCGCTTTGCCCTCTTTACCCCTTCGCGCCGCATACTTCCAAGCCTCGACTCCCTCCTCAGCCTCGAACACTTTGATAGGGATCGATTTCACAACACCCTCATCGATCAAGGAAGCCACCTTGACCAACGGCTCCGCACGTGCGGTAACAATGAAATACACCCATTTCACGCGCGGGTGTAACTTCAGCTCATCGGGCTCTCCTCTGCCGAAAGCCCAGTGAGGAGTTGGGTCACCCACCGTGACAATAACTCCGTCCTCCTTCACCGTGCTCCACGTCTTGGACAGAGTCGGGCCCCCCACTGTATCAAAAACGGCGTCGACGTCGCTGATCGTATTCTCCCAGGCGAGCAAGTTATAGTCGACGGCTTGACTGACACCAAGCTCCTTCAAAACGCCGTGGTTACGGGGAGAAGCCAACGCGATGATCTCCGCGTCGAAGAGTCGACGCGCAAGCTGAACGAGAAGAAGACCAACGGCCCCCGATGCCCCGGTGATGAGAACCTTGGCCCCCCTCTCCAGTTTGGCATGTTCCGAAATCGCCTCCCACGCCGTCAAGACGGGGATGGGCAGCGCCGCGGCCTGGACATGCGAAATCGATGCTGGCTTGCGAGCCACCTCATCCGGGGCGGCAATCACGTATTCCGCCTGCCCGCCCTGGGAGACGGAGGCGCGGAGCATCGCATAGACCTCGTCGCCAACAGAGATGGGGCCCGAGTACGAAGGTCCGAGGGACTCGACGGTGCCGGAAATGTCGTGGCCGGGGATGCGGCTGGTGGAGGCGTAGAGTTCGGGCCAGGTGACCTCATCGGCTGTGATGCCCGCGGCGTGGACTTTTATGAGGATATCTTTGTCCTTGGGGACGGGGATGGGGAAGGAGGTAAGGGAGATGTGGTGGGCATCTTTGGTGCCAGTGATTCGGATGGCTTTCATTGACATGATGATTGTTTTTTGCGAGGATCGAAAGGTGGCGTGATAAGTTGTTGAATCCAGTAGCTCCTGGATTGGTTATGATGGCGATGTTTCCCGTATTTATATTCGAGGGCAATGGAGCGGGGGAGGCGTAAAGGACTAGTGTGAGCTCTTTATCACAAACCGTGGCGTTCTTGATTTGACATGAGTCGGATACAACGTTTATTCGATGTTACCCATAGAAATGACGTTGGCCTTGAGATATCCGATCGATGACAATTCGATGGCAAATTCGTCATCATAGGTACAAGGGGCTACCTCTCTTGAGCCTATCTGGCGCTGCCGTTTAAAGTCTCCGCATGTACATTCGGGCCGTTCGGGCCATTCGGGTCGGACATTTTTATCCCGACCCGGTGTGGGGCCGCCTATGTTAACGGCAACCCGAATCACCAGGGCTTCTGGATGTGCCCGTTGCACATGTTGGCCAAAACCACGTCACTCTTGGCGGTAAGACTTTTGATATCCCCTAACCGGAAGGATCGGTTAGCTTTAGAAAGATATTTCCCTACGTTATACATACTCCCAACACGTCGATTAATCCGAAGGTGTATATAGAGGCGATGCGTTTCCTGCAACATGGCCGCCTAAAACTAAATCTTTCTAGTCTCCAGCTACTTTGAACAGTTACCACATACACTTCTCCCTAAGTAAACGCACAGAACTTGTCCCGAAACATGGCCTCAGCGATGGCAACAACTGTGTAAGTGACAAGACCTCCACTGCTCGACTGGACAGCAGAATACTGATATATCGCCCCCAGGACCCGTCCTCGCGAGGACATCAAGGTCTTGTTCGATTACGAGCTCCCGAATGCACCGGGGAAATCCATTATCGGTCTACAACTGGACTACCCACCAAACGGTTTCACCCCTCCGCACCGACATGGCGGCGCATCGGTTGTTGCATTGGTGCTCGAGGGAGAGCTTCTGAGTGGGATGAATGGCAATCCACCCCAGGTGTACACGCCAGGGGAAGCATTCCTGGAGCGTCCCGGCTGCCACCACACTGTCGGGGAGAACAACAGCCCGGTCGAGGCGGCCAAGGCGATTGCTGTGTTTGTTGTGGACACGGAGATTGTCAAGTCCGGGGGGTATGCGGCCTTGACGGTCCTTGATGCGGACTAGAAAAGGGATTGAATATAAAAGCGATGAATTCCCCTTCAATCCACCTGTCCTCTCTTCAATAGGTTCGTGTTTGTCGAATTATGTCGGGCTGTTAGCCTTCGAGGAGAGGAATATATGTCAACCAGCACGAGGCTTCTCCGGCCATGCTCAGACTACTTTGACTTTTGGGGTTGACGGAGAACGCGGGGCCGAACAGCATTGGTTTATCCTTGTGGTATTATTTGACTGTTTACTTAAGATCAGTATCCTTACGAAGGGCTGATTGGACCCGAAGTATTATCCGTAAATCGGCTTCGTGGAATAGGGATTTTGTCTCCGGGAGGTAGCTCAGGACCTGAAATTTGATGGAACCAAGGCCAAATGATGCTATATGATGGGATTGCTCAAGACAACAAACATCTATGCAGGAACTAACTAGCAGGATAAACAACCTGGTATACGCACATGAGAATCCCAGACCCCTCCAGCTTTTCCACCCGTTGCAACTCCAGTTTCTGGCCAGCTCGGCTACCGCCATCCCCGGTCTCAGTTGACAACTTCACGCCGCCCCGTAGCAGAGTAGGCATAATAGCGACCTCCGCCGTATCCACGAGCCCAGCGTCGAGACAAGCGCCGAAGAGCTCCCCGCCACCAAAGAGCCAAAGATCACTTCCCTCCTTTTCCTTCTGCCTCCTGATCGCAAACAAAAAGTCGCCGCTCACGATGGTGACGCCCGGGTTTTCCTCCGGAATCAGGGTCTTGGAGACGATGAGGACGTTTGACGCCGGGTGGCGGAGGAGGCGCTCCTCTACTTCGGTGCCCTTTATGTCCTCGTACGACTTGCGGCCCATGATGAAGGTGTCGAATTCTGCCCAGAGGGCGTCGAAGTCGATGGAGGGGTCGGGCGTGATCCAGTCTGTGGAGCCATCGTGGGGGGCGATGTAGCCGTCGAGGGAGACGGCGACGTTGTACCGGAGAGAGCGCATTTTGCTAGCTTCCTTGAAAACTGCTTGTGGAAGGGGAAAGTAGGGAAGTGCTATCGCTTCTCATGGAAATGGGGAATGGGGAGGGATGAGTATTTGGTTTGGGGAGGAGGATAGTTCGGGGGCCGGCTCTTGTGGGTTATTCACACTGGTACAAGGCGGCCACGTCGTGGCGGGTATCAGTAGATGTATTGAGGTGCACCATACTCGACAACCCTTGTTCCTTGGCAAGTGGAAGGACAAGCAGGTGCATGGAATTTCTGGCTAATTACTGTTTTGACAAGAGTGGCAGCCAGGGACATTTGGATTGTACAGATTGGGATACAATCACATAGCAGCGTGAAAGAAACAGGCCGGATTCTTGCATTGTAGGTAGTTGGTAAAGATAATTCGCCAGTTACGAGGTACTCGTAATCGATTCGAAAAGAGTGTGGTCGCTTTACTCGTATGGTAGTCCGGGATGAACCATGGAAAAATTCGGATGTGGGGTTATAATGGTTAACCAGTCATGTATTCACCACAATAAAAAGCAGATCCCATATAGTGTAACGGTTATCATATCGCGCTCTCACCGCGGAGACCCCGGTTCGACTCCGGGTATGGGAGCACTTCTTTTTTTGCGTCTTTTTGCGCCTTTTCCCGTGCTATAAGTTAGCTTTAACTGACACGGAAACTTCACCCTTCCATCTAAAAGTAGTAAAAGTTCACTGGAAAGAGGCCAGAAGAGACACGAGACCTTAGGATAAGGAATGGAAGAGGTGAACGTGCACGCAAAGAGTCAAAGCAAAGCCTGCTGCCCGAGGCAAGGAAAACGGTAGGGCAATTAGGGAGAGTGATACTTTTGGGGTTGAAGTTGGGGGGTTTGATAACAAGTGAAAGTACGATATTGACAGGCTCCTTCGTGTCGTCCTCGTTGGCCAGCTCGTAGACCAGCTCACCGACCAACGGACCAGGCACCAGGAAAGGTCCGGTTGGATCGGCGAGTATTTAGGCGCCCACCAGCGCCCCCTCCCCTCCCCCTCGCGCGCACACTGGTCCAAAATTGACTTCTTATGCACAGTCTCAGACGTCGCAATCAATAGTCCAATCCTTCCACAACTTGCCAACACATACAAACGCCCGCCGTCATGATACGTCTTCCCTGGCCGTTCTCTCGCGGGGTCCAGAACCAGGAGGACCGGCCTCCTATCCACGAACCATCTCAGCACCGGCCACGCAGCTACGACTCGTCATACGAAGACTGTACAGACTGGGACGTCCCAGACCCGCGAGACAAGACTCGGCGCGTCAGCTTCGGCTCCCACTCAACCATCGTATACGGCCATCCTTCGACGGGAGGCGTGCTAGTGCTAGAGCACTGCAATGGCGTCGACCTTAATTTCCTCGGCCTCCCACGATTTGAAACGGCATCGAGCTCCGATGATCCCGTCGCCGAAGACCTCCACTGTGCGCGCATGCGCCAACTCGGAGCGTGGTATTTCCGGAGCGTGTACGAGTACGACCTCGCGTCTTGCGGGATGGGGGACGAGGACCTCAATAATAGGAAGGTAGTCATAGCGGCCTGGCCGCAGAGTGGGTCCGGCGTGTGGGTGCTGGTTATTCACCGTTGGGAGAGAGGAGAGCGGGGGGAGGGCGTTGTGCGGAATGCATTCAGTATGGACGAGCGGTGCGAGGTTGTAAAGAAGCTGGGAGGCAGGTTTTATAGCGACCCTAAGGAGTGTCTGCACTTGGAGTTGTAGGTTGCTGTATGGTTTGGAATAGGATCTATATTTCTCGCAATTTATCTCGTTATCTGTCGGTTGGCGGATGCATCTTCACGTCTATCCCTGAACTCAATTTGAACTCCTCGTTTCATGCCTCTCTTCGTCCCTCTCTCTCCTCCTTCTCCTTGACTAGAGCCCAATACCTAGCCTTAGCGAGCGCATACAGCGTTTCCAAACGCGGCAGCGAGACACCCTTCTCCTTCCCAATCCTGACCACGTTCCCCAGGATAGCCTCGACCTCAAACGTCCTCCCCCTCCTCACATCCTGCAGCATGCTCGTCTCCCTCCCGGTCCCCGCCGCGGCCCTCTCCCCCGCGATGGAAAACCTTTTCTTCGCCACCTCGACCGTCACCCCCTTGACGCCTACCGCACTCGCTAGCTCGACGATCTCCATCATGACGCCCCACGCCAAATCGTACGCGTACGGGTCCGAGGTGAGCAGGAAGTCCCCGTCCGAAGTGAGCGTTAGCGCCCCGATGGGGTTCCATGACGTGTTGACGAGTAGCTTGCACCAGCGCGCGACCTGTATGTCCTCGTGGACCTCGGCGACGCCGCCGCCCTTGACCATGAGGTCCGCGAAGCGCCGTGCGGCGTCCTTGTGCGGCGCCGGTGCGTCGGAGGGGTAGGTACCTAGTTCCAGGAGATTCAGCATCTCGGGATATTCGATCGTGCCGGGACCGGTCTGTACGCCGGGTAGGTAGACAACGCCGCTTATGATGGGGTTGTGCGGGAACGCCTCTGCGACTTCCTCCTCGATATTAATGCCGTTCTGCGCCATGACGATGGCCGTCTGCGGCCTGCCCTCTAGAACTGGCCTCAGCTGCTCTGGCAGGGAGGGGGTGCTGCCAGGGAAGGACTTGGTGCAGACTAGGACGAAGTCAAAGGTCTCGCTGCTGCATTCTGAGATGTCGCGCACGACGGCGGTTGGGCGGTAGGTTACGTTGCCGAATCGCACGGAGGATAGTTCGAATCCCTGGTCTTTGACGACGGTGTAGTTCGAGCGGCAGACAGCCGTCACGGTGCAGCCTGCTTGGAGGAGCTGATAGAGATAGACGCCGCCGATGCTGCCGGCGCCGTAGAGGAGGACGCTGGCGGGCTGGCCGCTCATGGTTGGCGGAGGAAGTTGGTCTGATGGTTGAATGTAGCCGTCTTGTGAGAGTGCGTCACGAGAGCTGAGCTTTCAAACTTTAGGAACCCTGTTTGACTGCTTGATTGTGGCGATGCGTATAAGCTATGATGTCCAAGTAACCACTTGCAGTGCCAGCGACAAGTGCGGGATACGTAGTGCGACAGGCTTGCGTGCTGAATAATTTACAACCCGTCGCTGCGCTTTGACGTGATTTGCGCATTTTCCTTGCCACTGCTGCCGGTGTCGGTCTCAGTCTCCATTTCCCCCGCCTTTCCCGGCCCACCCAACCAAATCGGATCTTGCCCAAAGATAAGACTAAGACCAGCTTCGACAAGCGGGGCAGCAAGAATCTCACCCTCCAATGTCAGCATTTGTCCTACCGGGTGGGGACTATGATAACCCTCGTTCTATTATATTCTTGATGGATCATCCTGCAACGGGCAAGGGGTAACAGAACGGCGGCTAAGTAATGGTAGCAAAGTTCCCAAGCTATTCTTGAAGGAGTCAGAGATGCAAACCAGCCATGTACGGCCGCAAAGCCCCCTACATTCGAATTCGACGATGCGCAACCTGAACTGCTGTGACAAGTGCAACCGTATGACGGGCACCCGACATGGCTTGATTGAACTGCTCAGCGACGAGGGCTATGCGCACCATGACTGGTACAGCTTGCAGGAGTCCTCGCCTGACTGCCAACTCTGCGACCTGATATGGGAAGCCGTCGAGAATGAGAATTGGGATTGAGAGCAGGATGAGAAGGGGGGGGGTGAAGTGACCCGTCAGCCGATACGAGTGTTTGCAGTAGTAGGAATGAGGCACTCGGGCTCGGATGCGGAGTTGAGAAGTGATGATAAACTCGGCGCGCTCTTGCGGGGACGCGACGAAATGTCGGCACTCCGCGTTCGAACTCCCTGTCAAGATCGGTTGGGGAGCGATGACATTTTCCACCTTCTCGTCACCGATGGTAGGTTAGGGGGAATGTTCTCTCTCTTCCCTTTCTCCCCCTTCCTCCTTCGGATTTCGTAGAATGATATCTCGGCTTCTCCAAGGCGAAGAGGGGCTAGCACGGAGCAAAGTAGAAAGGAAGGAACAAGTAAGTCAGGGGACATTGCGCTGACCATTTGTGCCTCGCCCTATGCAGACGACCCCGCGGCCAACTTCGTCCCAGGACGGCGAGAGTCCAAAGACTTATCCCCAAAAACAGTCGGTATCATCCAGGAATGGATTCAAACGTCACGGGCCAAGGATGGCATGTCCGATAGCCCGAATCTTCCCCGTCGTGTCCTACGCGTCGGGTCGTCTGAGAGCGATCCCGTCTGCCTCTACGAGCCAGAGTCAGCCGAGCGCGGAGAATACGCGGCGCTCAGCTACTGCTGGGGACGCGGTTCTCAACAGATAACTACCACGCGAGCCAACCACGCAGCCCACACCGCGGCCTTGCCTAGCTCACTCCCCCGCACCATCGCCGACGCGGTATCTGTGTGCCGGAAGATCGGCCTGCCGTATCTCTGGGTCGACGCGCTTTGCATCATCCAGGATGACACCGATGACAAATTAACTCAAATCTCGCGTATGGGGATCATCTACAAGAACGCCACCGTCACCGTGCTCGCGGCCTGCGCTGCGGGAGTGAATGAAGGTTTCCTGGCGACCCAAACCCCTGAAATCGACGGCGATACCGAGCCACTTTGGCTTCCGATCTACCGAGGGCCGTCGGAGGTACCCGGCAGGGCATTCATCCGCATGCAGGATGGCGAGGACGGGAGGGTGTACGCCTCTGAGGAGCCTCTCTTCTGGCGGGCCTGGACGTTCCAGGAGCTCCTCCTCGCGCCGCGCGCGCTAGTCTTCGACTCACGCCAGATCGTCTTCAAAACCGCCGGGGGCGCGTTCCGGTCCGTTGCAGAGACACACCTCGACTTTCAGATGGAATGCCTTGATTTTCCGCCTGCCATCCACGCCGCGGAGGGGACCCCTGAGGCGCATGATGGGTCGCAGTGTCGAATATGGTCTACGGTGATTCACGAGTACAGCGGTCGGGATCTGACCTTCTTTGGCGACCGGCTCCCAGCGCTCGCGGGTATTGTCTCGGAACTGGCTCGCGTGTGGGACGACGTGTACGTTGCCGGGCTGTGGCGGCGATGTCTTGTCCGCCATCTGGCCTGGGTACGACGCTTCCCGTGGCCCGAGAGAGCCCTCTTTCAGGAGCTGGGGGGCGACGGGCGCGTTGGAGCGCCGTCGTGGTCTTGGGCCACCGTCCCTTATGCTGTTCAGGTGATGGACCTCATCCAGCCCGATGCGCAACTGGTGTCGTACGAGGTCATTCCTAAGTTCCCCGAGAAGGCGCCGCTCGGGGAGGTTTCCAGAGCCTCGATCACTCTGAATGCCTACGTATGGTCCTTGCCCGAGGTACAGGCGACATTCGACCTGAAAAGCCCGCAATCATCCATGGAGGGTCTCCCCGGCGTGGCATTAGACTTTAGCCTCCCGTCTCCAGGGGTTCGTCCCGACCGTTGCTGGATCATATACCTCGGATCTTCAAGCTATGCGAGAATATTTCTCGTTGTTGAGCCATGTGAGGAAGAGGGTCCTGATATTGCGTTTGAGCGTGTTGGCATAACCGAGTTACTTATTTCGACGAAAGTAGAGGCCGAATGGTCATCGTTCTTGGGACGCAGTATACGAGAGTGCATTACCCTTATTTGAGTTTATCGGTT